GGAAGCCGTGTGGCGCGGCTTTCTGTGCGCTTGATTGCTTTCATTCACACCGGAACAGAGCTGATTTGTTGTGGCGGCCTTAAGGGTAAAGAGCGAGAGCACTGCGGCAGTGTGTCAATTTGTTACCAAGTCCTTTCGACTGGGTTGAAGTGGCGTGTGTATGCGTCTTGGGTGTTCCCTGTATATAATCAAAAATTACGGTAGCTGTCTGTGATTGTAAGATTACCCACTTTCGTTGTACTATGCAAATTCTTGTGGAGGCGTGTGTCGTATCTAAGCTCACTTAGAATGACAAACCACTGTTGGCGCTCCTGGTTTGTCTGCATGGGGTGATAGTGCTTGAGAGACACTAAGTTCCACCAGTTCCCGGAAATCATCATGGCTAACAGTAGAAAACAAGGTCTCATTATGTTACGAAGCTGTATAAATATCTGCGGTTAATATCAAAGTCTGGAAGCCTTTTTGAAGGCAGGAATTTAGGCAGATATTTGTCTAACTTTCTAGAGGATTTCTTAGTAGTACTTTATTTCTGATACCGGAAGGAATTGATTTATAGTGTTTATAATTTTGTCTGTTTCAGATTTCTTCCGATCGGACCTAACGGCGGCACGTAATAGGTTACACGAGGCCTTTAGCGGTATCTACGGTTACAACTACAAGTTAAATCACGCCTTCTTCTTCCAATTCTTTACCGACCTCGAGGACTACATGGTCGGCCGGCGGGGCGATCTGGCCCAGTTACTGACGAACTTCTTTAACCAGTTGCGCACCTCCATTGTGGCCCTTATGGAAAAGGCAGATGGATCAACATCTGGTGTCGTGCCATCCGATCCTCAACGGATAAACTGTCTCTCTGAAGCCCTAGGCAAACAGAACGCCTTCGACCGGACAGACATGCACCTAAAGGACCAATTCATTCAGGTCTACCCGCCAGCTCGAATGCTTGTCAACACGCTTGCCGTTGGGAGTAGACTGCTGAGAACAATAGTTAAGGATGTGAGTTAATTTTAATCATCCACTTTATCTTCTAACAGAAGAATGGTTTCCGCCTTGTGTCTTATTATTAAATAACATTTCTTATTTGTTTAATCACTTTACAAGGGATGTTGCAATCGTCCTAAAATTATTCGATGACTTTTGCCTATCAAATCATGCCTTTTTTCTGTCAGTAGCATTTCGATTTCAGTCGACATGACCGTCTTATCTGTTCCGGTGTTTCCCCGAGGTAAATGAGTTTAAGTGATTCAAATCCATCGAGCGAATCTAACCATTTAACTGTTGTAATGTTCGGAGTACACCGGTTTCCATTATCTAAACCTTAATTTCTGTGCTAGATGGCTTTAACGCCCCTCGAAATACTTTTTCCGTTATTTTCACAAATCTAAGGTTCGGACTTCAGCGATATCGGTATCATTCACATAATTACCCAATCAAATATGCGATGTGTTGAATTTTGTGTTGGGTGAAATACAGTTAAGAGCGCGAATTAGTCGTTCGTGCGGAGCAGCCATCATCTCCCAATCGAGTCATGCTCAGTTAACTGATGCATGTTCACTATTGGCCACCTCTTGGCAGTATCATTACTTTCTG